TAAATGATATGAATAAGGTTAAGAAAATATAACCAGATTGGACAGTTTTCTAAATAAAATGTGTAGATGTGACTAAATGTTCCTCATCATGCTAAATGCTGTTGACATCTGTGAGTGGTTGTTCACTGGTAAATGGTTGCTGCAGTAATGACTGTGTGTGTGTGTGTTGTGTGTGTGTGTGTGTGTGTGTGTGTGTGTGTGTGTGTGTGGTGTGTGTGGTGTGTGTGTGTGTGGTGTGTGTGGTGTGTGTGTGTGTGTGTGTGTGTGTGTGTGTGTGTGTGTGTGTGTGTGTGTTGTGTGTGTGGTGTGTGTGTGTGTGTGTGTGTGTGTGTGTGTGTGTGTGTGTGTGCTGTGTGTGTGTGTGTGTGTGTGTGTGTGTGTGTGTTGTGTGTGTGTGTGTGTTGTGTTCCAGCGCTGTTGGTCCATCAGAAGGCACGAATGGAGAGGCTGTGGCACGAGCTGGAGCTGAAGAAGAAGAAACTGGAGAAGCTAAAAGAGGAGGTGAACGAGATGGAGAGCGACCTGACCAGGAGACGGCTGGAGAGATCCAGCTCCGCCTCCCAAATCCCTTCTGTAAGCAAGAAACACCTTATCTCTCGTCAGCGCCATTACCACCTTTTTGCTCTAATTGATGGACAGAATGAATCTTAACCAATACGGATGCCCCGATGGCCAATTCAAATTATTTTTCATTTGCAGCTCAATTTTAAAAACAAGCTCCAAATGATTCTTATTAGCAGTGTTTTTGTGATGTTCCTCAGAACTGCAAACCAGGTTCTCCTGATTATTAGTGACAGATAAAGCCTCAAGAGAAGAAACCAGATCTGGACCACATTACATTTCTGGCTCCTGTGAACATCACAGGGCCAATTTATCATTCCGATATACTTCCATATTTTCAGACTGACAAAGCGTACAGTTTATTAGATTCACTTCACAGTTGTTCCTTCAGCTAAAACAGGGACAGTTCAACAGAAGAAAAGAGTCTGAGGCCCCGGCCACACGAGGACGAAAACGGTCGTTTGCGTTACCGTTCTGTGTCATAGAGACCGTTCGGCCACACGAGGACGACCGAATACGGCACTAAACGACTGCGGAAACGATAACGGGTCCCAAGGTGAATAGAACGGCATACGCAACGCTCTGGGGGGTCCAACGGCTCCGTGTGTAGGCCCTATACGATCATTTTCTGATAATGATGAGGCAATAGCCCCGCCTCTCCCCACCTCTGCTGCTCACCCCCGCGTCAAAGTAAACTGCACACTGAATTCAGATTATTTATGTGAAGTCTAATCTGACAGGACGGAGACACCTCTCAAACTACCTAAACTAGTTATAAATATGTTTATTTTTACTGTCGGCCGGGTCACTCATTACTGGATCAGCTGCTGCATGAAACAGACACTGACGCTGTCCGAAGAGAGGGAGGAAAAAGAGAGGCTCCGTGTATTTTATTATTATATTATATAGAGTCGTTATTCATTTGTTTTAAAGCTCAATAAATAACAAAGAAGACCTTTGACCGGCACTTTTATAATTTTGTCCGGAAGATTTAAACTTTAATACACGTTGACTGGCAAAAAACTCTGCCCGGTTCCCTCGGCCCCCACCGCGGAGAATAAACAGAAGGGCAACCATGACAACCATGCTTCTTCGCTGCTTTTGTGGAGGAAGTTACAGCGCCACGTACAGGTTCCTGCATGTACTGCAGCTTCTCCAGCGGTTGGAGCTAAACGGAGCGGTCTCGTGTGGACAGACACTATCCGGTGAATATTGCGTTCCACAGAGGGAAAGTGGCTGCTGTAGCTGAGCTGAGTCCTTCCTTTGTTCAGAGTTAATAATAATAATAATAATAATAATAATAATACATGGTATTTATATAGCGCTTCTACTGGTGCTCAAAGACGCTTTACAAGCCAGCAGAGGAAATATCAACAAAGAAAATAAAGTGATAAGCCAGGTGGAATAGGGGCGAGAGTAGGGGTGTAACGGTATCCGTATTCGTCCCGTACCGTCACGGTTCAGACGTCACGGTTCGGCACACGACGAATACGCCTTTTTTTTTACGAGTGGGAAAAAAGTCTGTCATTCAGGGCAGTATCCACTACACTATTTATAATCCAGAGGGCGGTATTGCGCCTAAAAGCTGTTTACCAGCCTCCCTTAAACAACAAATGAAGAACAAGAAGAAACAACAACAAACCTGGAATTATGCATTTGGGACGTTTTTTTGCTTTTCCTTGTTGAACCGAACCCGTACCAAACCGTGACCCCCAAACCGAGGTATGAACCGAACCGTGACTTCTGTGAACCGTTACACCCCTAGGCGAGAGGTTAGAAGATTAGCAGTTGAAGGCAAGAGTGAAAAGGTGAGTTTTGAGAGTTGTCTCCCGCCTGTGTGTGATGGCTGACCTGCTGACCCCCCCCCATCTCACCCCGTTTCAGATTGAGGAAATGAAGCAGTTGAGATGCAAAAACAGGTCCCTGCAGATCGACATTGACTGCCTCACCAAAGAAATTGATCTCCTTCAAACAAGAGGTGAGTCTCTCTCTGATGTGTCTTTGTCACTGGTTGTAAACTAGCATTCAGAGTAATAAAGTGAAGCGTAGGTAGGGAGGTCAGACCGGGTCCAGCTGTGCAGCTGCTCACATCCTCTCTGCACACACACTGTGCCGCTAACTACCAGCTCTTCCTCAATTGCATCCTGTTGCTGGTTGGTAAGTGATTTATGCCCCTTGGCAGTACTCCACTGCTGATAGAAACTGACCCCACAGGCCTCATGAATGAATAGTACTCACGGAGTTCCCTGTTGTGGGACGGCCCAGTGACATGTTGAATCAAAAACCCTGGAGCTCAACACTAAGCTCTCATTCAGAAGAACCTCATTCCACCGTTGGCAGCAGTCAAACCAGGACCGAGTCAAACAGTGTCAGTCCCATTAAGAACTTATAAGGGATCGTTAAGGTTATCTATGGCTGACTTCATAGCTCAATGAAAAATGCCAATGCACTGTTTTCCATCTGTTGACAGGACCACACTTTAATCCCAGTGCAATCCATAATTTTTATGACAACATTGGATTCCTCGGTCCTGTCCCACCCAAACCCAAAGGTACTTTATCTCTTGGTAAGTTGAGAAAAAGCTGCATGTCATGTACTGTATGAAACTGTGAGTGTTTAGGGCAGGGGTCTGCAACCTTTTTGACCACAAGAGCCATTTTCCACCAATTGTTTTTGTCTGGAGCCGCAAAACATATTTGATAGCTTATAACGTTGTATGTATTGATACATCATAGACAAAAACTACAGTTTTTTTGCATGTATTATTTATTACATTATAGAAAACTGTTTACCTCTAATAAGAAACAAAGAACTCTTGTAAGGAGAATTAAAAAAAATACAGGCCAACTTTAAAATAAATCAACGCAGCACTTGGGGAGTCCTCTGCACATTTGAAGGAAATGAATATAATTCAAATTGGCCCACTTTGAAATAAATCAAACATATAGCTGCACCCTAGAAAGAGTTACCTGATTGAATGATGACTGAAGATCGTCAGCTGTCTTCCTCTCCGTGTTGTTCCTCGATACGTAAAGGCACCTTTGACAACTTCTCTCCACATATCAAACATTCCGGTAAGCCAGCATCGTTTGCTGTGAAAGCAGATAACTCTGTCCACACAGAATTAAACCCTGTGTTCCTCCGGTACTTTTCTTTTCTTTATCCATAGTTCGCTCACCGAGCCGGGGTCAGGTTATTCGCCTGCAAGAAAATGAGTTGACCTAATTAAAACTGTTTTTTAAAATGTTGTATGTGTCACAGTATCACCTCAAAACACAAGATACGAAACATTTTCAACCGTGCAACCAAATATAAATAGTCCTAGAAATACTTTGATTTTATTTCCTTCTTATTGTTGTCTAAGCTCAAGGGGGCCAGAGTAGAGGGCTTAAAGTGCCGCATGCGGCTCGAGGGCCGCGGGTTGCCGACCCCTGGGTTAGGTCCATCCATGCATGAGGTTGTCTTTTTGTAATATTCATTGATTCATTCATTGATTCATTGATTGATTCATTCATTGATTCATTCATTGATTCATTCATTGATTCATTCATTGATTCATTCATTGATTCATTCATTGATTCATTCATTGATTCATTCATTGATTCATTCATTGATTCATTCATTGATTCATTCATTGATTCATTCATTGCATGCTGTCTATCATACTGTACCTGCTGACTGAAATGTGTACACAAATAATCTCTTCTGCTCCAAAACCCGTTTTCATCCATCCCTTGAGCCCCCCTTGCCCTGCCTGCTACTTCCTCTCTGTCAGACGTTTCATTTTTCCTCCTCCCTTCATTTTGAACACTTGACTTGGTCTTTGATGACCTCTTGGTTTTCACCTTATTTAAGGAATTGATAAAACCATGCTTTGTAGTATTATAAGGTTATGCAACCCTTCAAAGAATCTAACTAGCTCAGAGCTGTTTGGAAATGATTAAGTTAAATACTTTTAGAGCCATGACAAGGTAACACTCACCAGTATTTCACAATAGAAAGGCAAAGATTAAAGATGGAAAAATAAACGTATTTCTATTGCAGAGATATCCAAAAAGCCCTTCTGTCTATCATCTCACACCCAGCCTGCTTTATTCCATTTGGAACGCTACACGTTGTGTTGATTAGCATGCATGAGCAGATGGTAATTCATTCATGTTAATTAACCCAACTTATGTTAATTGTCCAACATATGCAAGTTAGCATCCGGCAGTTTCTATGTGCTGGGGACCCGTACTATACATCTCTAACATAACACTTTGGGGTACTCACCATTCCTGGTTCACTGTGCTGGCAACTAGACTATTATCACAGCTTCAAATGTTAATGATCTGGATGTCCATGTTTGGGTGGGTTGGTGGGCAGCGTCTGACTTGTCCTCCTCTTCACAGACGTGGGCACCAAGGCCGTGAAGCCCCTGGCAGAGCAGGAGGAGGACGAGGGGACGCAGTGGAGCTGCACCGCCTGCACCTTCCTCAACCACCCCGCCCTCAACCGCTGTGAACAGTGCGAGTTCCCGCGGCACTTCTGAGCCTACAAGGCCCCCTCCTCTGCCATCCTGTCTGCACCATAACACCAGAGAGAAGGCCTTTGTTCTTCTTCGGTTTCTTCGTGCTATGAACTGGTACGGGGCTCGCTCATCGTGCGTCCTGTTCTCCTTTTTTCAATGCTCCCACTGAAGGCCTGACAGGATGGTGTTCACAGCTGAGAGACTCAGAGGGGGGGGCGGGGAAACTTTTCCCGGGATACCTCGCTGCTCCCACTTACAGTATTACAAGTGTGGCCCAGCAGTGTGACCACACCACACACACACACACACACACACACACACACACACCACACACAGGTACCTATGTGCCTTTAGTTGATTGCATTGGGTTTTTCTTGCTCTGTGGTGGCCTGTTCAGCCACTGCTCTCCATCTGAAGGGAATCCTGACGGACTGATCGAGGACTTTAAAGTGCTGTCTGTAGAGGATGTCAAAGGGGGGTGTTGCTAACTGCCACTCTCATGTGCCTCTTGTCCTCCCTCCTCTGTGCCTTGGGTCACGAGTTAATCAAAAGAAAGAAAGTTGCATGCTTGTGTACAGTACATGGAGGCAGAAACTCCCCTTGAGATTTTAACTGTACATCATTTTAGAATGTGCCTTGAAAGCCTCCCTCCTCACACTATGACTTATATTTCCTGTAAGTATAGCTTTATAGACTTTATTAATGTTGTTGTCTTGTTTTGTTCCCCTCTTCCAAACAAATAAGCACCATGCTCCCTTTCTAAGTGTTTGATTTCTGTGAGAGTTGAAGCCTTGCAGAAGGAGAGGAACAGAGTAAGAGCCCTGCAGTCATCATGAAGCTGCGTCTGCTCAGCGCTCGTGTGGCGCCCAGCTTCCTGTGTACCACCGCACAGCAGCAGCAAAGAAGAAGGCTATGGAGGGCTTCTTTTTCTTTTTTTCAGGACGCCAAATATTTCAGGAGGGGGAGGGGAGGAGTCAAAAAGCAAAATGAAACACTGCCATCTTATCTGACAACTGGAATGTAGGTTTGATGTTTTGGGGACAGCTTGACCCCAGTGCAAAGAGACACTCGTCCTCCAGTCCCGTCAGGAAGTGACTGCAGCTCTGAAACAGCTGATTTGGTTGAAAGTGGCATGTTGCTCTGCAGCTGATGGAGTCCTGTGAGGTTACGAAGATCAAAGTATTCCTATGATGTAAAAAATACTCATATACAGCAGGTCACAACACAACTGTCCAGTTTGTATACTCTTATTTTTATTCGGCTCATTTCATCCTCCTAAGCTTTTATTGATGAGGGTGTCTCTAAAGTTTACTTATTGTCATTAACTTACCTTAACTGTGGAGTAGTTACTTAGTTTTGTTTTTTCCACACTTGTGAAATGTTGCCTTGCATCAGTGCCTTTGGAACTATTGAATTTGTATTGATCATCGATTCTGTCACATCCGAGTGGCATTTATCAAAGCAAAATGTTAGTTGTTGAAACCCATTTAAAAGTAGATGAATTATTGTCTCTTAAGCACTTACGCCATACTTTTCATCTTCATCTGCACCTTGGTGTGAAGAGGTAGTTTATTCATGTTTTATTAAATTGACAAAAAGTGATTTGGATATCTAAAGTGTTTTTTTGATTTTAGCTGGGAAAACTGTCTTTGTAACAGATAAGTTATTTGTAAAAAATAATTAAAAAAATCTATTCTGAGTTGTTTTGGTGTGTTTGTGATACAGTTGCTTTTATCCAGTAGATGGCGGCATGGGTTCCAGGAGCAGCTGGAATCAAAGCGGCACCCGCTCAGCGTCAGCCTCGGGTGGTGAATGCTGCTTTCTTTCAACTTTATTTCTATTGAGTTGTGTTTGTACATTCAACAAAAAACATTTCACATGTTTATTTGTGGCTTCTTTTAGCTTAGAACAAAGGTAAACAAAAGGTCAAAAGTATTTCTCTCACTCTTAAGTCATTTTTTCCATTATATAGACCTCTTATAATATCCATCCACTACACTTTAATAATGGCTCCTTACACCAGTTTGTTGTTATTTATTTATTGCGTATTAATAACAGGTATGTATCTATCATTATCAATCACACAATCATGTATTTGTCCATGGTAGTTCGGTGCATTCCTTGGCTAACCCCCAGAATGTCTCCAAATGCACATTTTCAGAAAAGGTACTCCCCACATAAGCAGCAACATGTTAGTTGTGAACAGTGTTGTGAGGCTTCTCCATCCAAACGGGTGTGTTTGGTGAGAATGGCACATGTTGAGCCATTCTCACCAAACACTTCATCATACAATGAATGATTATGATGAAGCTTTTCCTTTGGTTACCAGTCAACATGTCTCCTGCGGAAAAGGTCCACTAACGTTTTGTCACGAGATGTCTTACTCTTGAGTGTGTCACTGGAGGTCTTGCATGGATTATCACCTGCATCCTTAATTGATAGTGGCAACACTTGTTTTGCTTGTTTTCTCCTTTTGAGAATATTGATGTCTCAATATGCCAACGGTAGAGATGCTGTAAGCGTTAATAACAGTTGGCCGATACTTAAAAGTTAGAGCCACAGAGATGGCTAGCAATGTGTACATCTGACAACCCATATGTGCACTTACCTCCTGATCTGAATGCTCCTGTTTAACACGATGGAGTCGTACATTCAAGTGCCACAGCACCGTCCTACGTATGGAGCACATTTTCTGCCATAAATCCCAAACCAAACAGCAATCACCTGCATAACAGCACTGTCCCTTCACTAGCGTTTACATCACTGAGTCATCAGGCGCCTGAGTGTGTGTCTGCTGAGCTAATGTCCTCAACCTGTTACCATTCAAATCAAACTGCTTTGCTCTCTTCCAGAGATATAGCTATAAATGCTGAATGATTTTAGGTTAAGAAATATTCAAATGTCTTTAGTGTCAATGTCACAGTATCACTGTTACAAAAATATTGTCCACTAGGTAAGAAGGAAAAAAAACCGTTATTTATTTGGGTCACGATCAACCATTTCCTTTCACTTCCTTTTTTAAATGTCTATTCCAACAGAGGTAACAAAGCTAGGTGCTGTAGTCAGTAAGTCCGCTGATCCTTGGTTTCTTTGGGTTGATGGTGGAGGATCTGCAGCAGCTGACCTGGTCCGGTTGCAGCTGACCTTCAGAGCTTCTAATGCTTGCATACTTCAGAAAGTTGTTGTATTTATGTGAATATTATGGCATGGCTGGGCTCTACCTCTGCTTCTGTCTTATCCTTTACATGGCCAGATACCTGTAGCTTTCATTTCATCTTAATGTGTCACACGGGTGGAGCTGCAGACTTGTGCAGCAGCAGCTCTATTAAATCTTATTTCACACATCATGTTCTTTATTTACGTATCTCGCGCACCTACAAGGACTGGGTAATATGTGAACCAATGACAAATATTCAAAGTTCTTTTATTTCACAATATTCAAAAAGTACACATTAGTATAACAGAGTTCCTCACTTTGAGGCAACATAAGAAAACAACACATGCTGCTTTATTAAAATGTTTTTACTGCTACAATAAGTAACATGAATTGAGTGTGTGCATTGCACTTTTACACTAAAGAAAGAGCATTCAGTCTGCGACATGTTCATGTTTTAATGCTTGAAATACAGGGTGAGTTGTGAATGTGTTCTAGCACAGAGACATGGTATGAAGTATATTAAAGGGGACCTATCGTGCAAAATGCACTTTGTGATGTCTTCTCTCTATCACCATGTGTCCCCGGTGTGTCGGGGAACTCACGCAGTGTCAGAGAATAAAACCCTCTCTTTTCCTCCGTACCCAAATCTCTAAAAACGGGGGAACAACGGAGCTGATCCAGATTTGCGTCCGATATGACATATCTTAAATGTGGACCCACGGCCCAATCAGAAACGTTGCTATCAGAAACAATGCCCGACTGTTTTGGACGTAATATGGTCGGTGTTTACATTAGCATCGCTAACACTCAGAGCTAACCTGTACTGGAGAGCATGTGTGTGAAGAAGCAGGAAGTAAAAAGGAACTCACCTTGTGGTATAACCGGCAAGAGAGAAAGCCTTTGAGCTCCAAACTGTTTCAGAGAGAATCCTTGATAATCCATGATATGGCGTTTCATCACGGCAGCATTTAGTTTAGACCGTAGCTGCCGGGTCCCGCATGAGCTCAGACACCTCCTTTTTTATTTTGTTATACATTTTTTTAAACAGGAAGTGAAATAGAGGGATATGAGGCATGGCTAGAATGGATGATCTGTTTGGTATTTTGAGCAAAACACTTCATAGACATGTTTTTTATATATTTGTATATATGTGAGACCTATGCTATTTATTGCCTAAAAATAGCATGATAGGTGACCTTTAAGAAAAGAAGCCTTGTTCCCTTTCTCCAGGTTTCTCTGTGCCTGAGGGTTGTGAGACGGTTAGTAATCTAGAAGGAGACATGGCTGCTCCTGTAGCTCTGGATGAGAGAGATCAGCTGGGTCATGTCTGAGATGTGAGGGTGGGTACTCATGACCTGCTCCACCGCGCCCTGAGGGAACAGGGTGCTCAGCTGGCTGCGCAGGCCCCCCCTCTGCTCTGCGGCCGGGCTCCTGGCTCCGCCCTGCAGCCAGGCCCCCCTCTGTGGAGCGGGGCCCCGTCTGTACTGCTGCTCTGCACTGTGTACAGGAGGCTCCCTGTTATGTGGAGGCAGAGCTGGGCAGGAGCCCCATGCTGGGTGGTGGTGGTGGTGGTGGTGGTGGTGGGGGTACGATCTAGTCTGAGGATGAGCACAGCTGCACACAGGGCGCAGGCAGGGCACTGATGAGTGGTGATGGGGATAGAAGGAGCCTGAGAGCGAGCAGTCGTCGTGGCTGTAGCTGGCCACTCCGCTGCTGTAGCTGTGGGGGGGGAGCTCCACACTGTCCTGGATGTAGAGCCTGGACATGGAGCTATCCATGGAGCTGAAGGCCTCGTCCTCCTCAGGGCTGGGGCGGAGGCGGGGGCTGCTGGTGTCTCTGTGGAAGACCAAGAGCTCGCTGGGTGAAGCCCTGAGGGACAGGTCGTCTGTGCTGAGAGGGGGGTTGGGGGAGCTGTATCTGCAGTGTGTGTTCTTGGCTCGGTCCCTCAGCTCGTCGGCCACAGACAGCTGGGACTGGTGGGCCCGCTCCGGGTGATAGAACTTGCACTTGACTCCATAAGTACACTTCTTTCCTGAAAGAAGGAAAATAAGTTAGTTATGAGCTCCACAGCTGGAGACCTGAAGAACACTGAATGTGTGTGTCTGCTGGAAACACACACGCTTCACAGACACATGGAGTGTGACCCAGCTTCCTCTCAGCCAGCAGATACTGTCGGCAGGCTGTGGCTCTGGAGACCAGAATCAGTCTCCACTCCGAATTAAGAGCATTACAAAGTCCTGAACTCGCCTTGGATTTATGATCCAGTTGTCTACTTTAGTCTTTGCTACATTTGCTGTCTGTCTAATATTTTGTTTGCATTGAGCAAAACGTGCTGATTTTGGAAGAGTTCTGTTTGTTGTCAGTGTAGATGCAGGTTAGCCGGCGCAACACACTCTCACTCCATAATCGTCCAGGAGCGACACTTGGTCAGGGTCCCATGGCGTGCATTTGTGACGCTCCTAGGCTCCTTCAGCTTCATAAAGGGACGCAAATAGCTTTCAACTGATTGCAATGTATTCCCATATGCGGCGGGATTTGACGCTCATGGAAGCACGGCATTCGTTTGTGTCGGCTGCCCTTAAAGGCAATGTGAGCGTCCATTCTCATTGGATAACGGAGAATTGTACATCCGGAAGTAAGTATTCCCCTTACTGTCGATTGATTTTACAGTGATATCTGCACTACTCATCGACTAAAAAACACCAGATTATCCTTGTTAATTACACAACATTGATTGGTTTAAATTGTGTGCAATGCTTTTGTATTTTTCCCCTTCGATTCGGAGAAACAAATATTTTTTCGGAGTAAAGGATGGCAGAAGACACTACACTACCCAGAATCCCCAGCTATCGTTTAGGACTACACCATGTGCTCTGTTTGACAAACCCCGTGATTAGTTCTCAAGCTCTGTGATTGGTTGACCTCCAACTGCATTCCATATGAAAAAAAAACGTTTCGTAAAAGATAAAATCATACTTTATTCAGCAGTGCTTGCTTTACTCTTTGAAAGTCATCACATGAATGCATTGTGATAAATGGTTCGGCTGCATTCAAGATACAGATCTGTTGTAGTTCTTTATTTGTATTTATCTACAGAGATCGGGCTCAGAATAGAACGGAAACTATTCTTTTACCGTTCAGTTTGAATTTCACAATAAAGTTAGTAGTAATATTTTGTTTTGATATTATTGTTTTTTATTAACTACTAGACCGCTGGGTCATGTTAAGACCATCTTTTCTGTGTTGCTGTGTTTTTTTTCCCCATCGCTTTTGTGTTACAAATATCAAAACAATAACTAAATATATCCGTCGTAAACTAAACCAGAAACAGCAGTATATTTTATTTTGTTAACACTGTAAACTTGACAGCTTTTTAACCCAAACCACCTACTGGTTAAAGCACGTTATTACACGTTTAGAGTTTAGAGAATGCAGGTGGATTGTGTTGCTTTTTAATGACTGTTTAAAATGCCTTTTTCTTAATGTATTTTATTATTATTAACTACTTGTTACTTGTTACTTGTTGCTAGGGACGCTGCTATCGATATTATTTCTGTTATGTTGTGTAACTGTTTAATGGTGTTCTCTTTATTGCTAGTCTACCCCCTTCCCCGTCAATGTATCCACAACACAAACGTATTAGTTTAACAAAATCCGCATCTAAAATTGTGGCATAGATAGCCTACGTTATTTTCCCCTGTGCAATTCTCCATTTACTCAACAATAACACGTAATTATCCTTGTGTTTATTTATTTGTTTGATTAATAAACACAAGTTGGAGTCCGTCAGGCCCGGGGGTCGGAGCAGCTCATTTGCTTTAGAGAATATTACACCGGGAAGTAAGTATTCTCTCCGCTTCGCTTGACAAACCCTGTGATAGTCCTCAAGCTCTGTGATTGGAGAGTGTGCTCCGAGGGTTACGCCGAGCGTCGAACAGCACTTGAAATGGGATGGAACCACGGCAGACTGTCCAAAACTGGATTTGAACGGGTCCACCCCCCCTCCCCAGAACTACACATGCTGGCTATTGTGTTTCGCAACATGTTCTGTATCTATGGCACGTCTCTACTGGGAGTTGTAGTTTTAAAAGACGTTTTCGTATTTCCCATAATAAGAAGTTGCCAGTATTAAACTGTGTACATTGCCCATAATGGGCAGCATTAATATATATACACACATGCCAGCTAAGGTCAGAAGAGCTTTATTTAACAGCTGGTCTTATGTTTGTGACCCCTGTTGTTAATTGATTACATTACATTAATTGATAAGCCTGAAACATGCACTTGTCAAGGTTCAGAGGCAAATTTTGCAAATATGGCAGTAGCCATCGATCAGCTTAAAATAAGATATACTTTATTGATCCCAAGTTGGAAACATTTGCGTTACATCAGCATGTGTAACAGTTGTAAATATGCAGTGGTGTTTATTTGTAAATCATTTAGTATAATCACACAAATTCTGTGTTTTATATTTAATAATTCTGTGTTCTTTATTTATTGATTGTTCAATACCTGACAAGGTCGGAGATGAAATATCTACATACATCTTATAAGAGCATAATACATGATGTATAATATCAGTTAAAATAAGTGCTTCAACATAGTTAACATTGCTGGAGGTATGCACAAATATTGATAGATGTCTTGTAATGCACTATTGAGGAACCTGCGACCCAAGTTTTTCATTCAATGCAGAACTACACCATAGTTGTGTAGGCCTATATGATATGTCAATAAACCTTAGAAAATCTTGAAAGGGATGTGCAAAATAGTCATTATATACAGTCTTTAATTAACTATTAGTAGAGAATAACGAGTAATGAACATACTTTATAGGGATCCTATTAATATCTAATAATAAAAATAATGAAATTCAATAACATGCTTTAACCACTAGGTGTCCCTTTATATCAGGTGTGCACCTTTATGGTGTAAATACAGCCTATCTACCAATTGGATCAAATATAAAAGTCAGCCGAATTAGTGTTGATACTGCAAGGAGACGTATTGTGTGAAAAGAAATGTAAGATGTTGTTTAATTGCTGATATATTTATGATCCACGTCACGTTTTCAGTTCCTCATGTTTGTCTAGAAGTCTTCTCTTCAGGGCTCTATAAATACAGAACTACGGCAGATATGTAATATTTAATGCAGCCGAACCGTGTATTACAATGCCGTTATGTGATGACTTCCAAAGAGAAAAGCAAGCACACTCGGAATAAAGTATTATTATTTTTTGTTTTAATGTTTTCGTTCTGTTTCCGGTATTTGTTAATGACGATGTGCTGTGAGATGTGAGACTGGAATTGCACAGGGGAAAATAACGTATCTTTAGATGCGGATTTTGTTAAACTAATACGTTTGCACTGTGGACCAACACTATACATTGACGGGGAAGGGGGTAGCAATAAAGATAACACCATTAAACAGTTACACAACATAACATAAATAATATCGATAGCAGCGTCCCTAGCAACCACCTTGGTAACAATGAAAACGTTCTATGGACGCAATTTCCTGAAGTAATCTTCGTAATAACAAGCAAACTAAAGATCATGTACATCCACTGCACACATAATCTGAAATAACAACTCATATGTCTCGCATCAAATGACATCAAAACGCATTTTAATGGCCAAACTAACTTTAAAATAGGCATTTTCCACCGAGAATAAAACGAAGGTCGGCCATGTTTTGTTTTTTTGCAGGGAGAAATTTGAAGATCACGTGACATAGACGCCAGCCATTGGAATGAATGGTGAAAAAAACGGGGTTTGTCAAACAGAGCACATGGTGTAGTCCAAACGATAGCTGGGGATTCTGGGTAGTGTAGTATCTTCTGCCATCCTTTACTCCGAAAAAATATTTGTTTCTCCGAATCGAAGGGGAAAAATACAAAAGCATTGCACACAATTTAAACCAATCAATGTTGTGTAATTAACAAGGATAATCTGGTGTTTTTTAGTCGATGAGTAGTGCAGATATCAGTGTAAAATCAATCGACAGTAAGAGGAATACTTACTTCCGGGTGTACAATTCTCCGTTATCCAATGGGAATGGACGCTCACATTGCCTTTAAGGGCAGCCGACACAAACGAATGCCGTGCTTCCATGAGCGTCAAATCCCGCCGCAGATGGGAATACATTGCAATCAGTTGAAAGCTATTTGCGTCCCTTTATGAAGCTGAAGGAGCCTAGGAGCGTCACAACTGCACGCCACGGACACTGACCAAACGTCGCTCCTGGACGATTATGGAGTGAGAGTGTGTTGGTTTGAACCAGTCCTGTCGTACACCTCTCTAAACTCCATTCTCGTGTCTCAAGTAGCAGTATTCATTTGTCGCATGAATAATAACCTGGATTGACACACACTTTTTTATCAGAAGATGTGTCCTTATCACTTTTGTGATCCTGACTTTTCATATGTTTTTGTTTGATGTGAATGGTTTACTTTATGACTATCATCCCTCTTAAAAAACATGCCTCTCCATCATCCAGCATGCTGATGTTAGCATGGCTGCAGACAAATGAAGCCGCACAACCGTTGCAGCGAGCTGCCGCTGTTGTGCAGTTGTAATCAGTGGCGTTTTCTCCTGGAGGCCAAGGGAAGCCACGCTTCCCCTGTTTTTTCGGAGTGTAGTTATAATTTTAATAAATAAATAAAAACACTTCGTTTAGTTTAGGAAATTCTTTGTTGTGTGTTGCTGCCGGCCCGTCTCTCCCCCATTCTCATTGAGTATTTTACAAAGAGTGAAACAGCGCCCCTCTAGATGTTATGGTGAAACAGTAGATTGCACTCACTGTTGCGAGAGGAGGCCAGCCGAAATTGGCTTCCCTTGGTGAAAAAAAATTGAGAGATTGACCAATCAGATGAGGCTCATGTGATGCCCCTGCCAACCTGTGATTAGTCAGGGCCATGCCAAGGGAAGCAAGAGGCGGCCGGCTTCCCTTGCCTCACAATCAAATTGCATCAACTTAGTGTTGCAGTGACGCATCCTAAAACCCGGAAGTAAGCTGCGCTCGGGTTCCCTCGACATGGGATTTCTCCATAGGATTTAGGAAAATAGCTCGAAATAAGGTCAGTGGAAAACGAACCTGTTAGATAAATGCAAGTTTTGTTCAGTCGGATAATATCCACATGTCTACCCTACTTTTATCATTTTCTAATCATAAATCTAATCGATAGAAGATAGATAGTGTCACTGTACCACTCTCACCGCCGTTAGAAAGTAGCAAGCAACTGAAGCAAGTGCAATTATGGAGGGTGGAGATTTGGAGTATTTCATCAAAAATAATTGTACTAAACTTCCGCTACAGCAGCAACAACAAATACAATCTGATGACAGGCCAATGCCCAAACTGGAGCTGTGCACAGCGAGGAACAAAGGAGCGAATCGGACGTAAAACGTTAAAGGTCTCCTGATTTAGTTTGTGAATGCTTATTAGAGTTTGGGCTGGAGAGTGCGTGCGGACCTGTCGGTTAGATAACAGGCGTGTGTAAGTCCTGCATCTGATACAAATGTGTGTAAAATGATACCGGGTGCTGTAATCACTCATCTGGTTACGTTATTACATTGACCACCACACCCCCGACTCAAAAGAAAGGAAGTATTATTGGCTTCCCCTAATTTTTTCCCCACGCCACGGTTGTAATCCCCATTAGAGAAGGAGGGTGTAAACTGAGCAGTGTTGGGTCTGTTGTTGTGAAGCTGAGGAGTGAACTGACCGTAAGGACAAGGCTGCAGTTTGTTGTCTGAGCTCCACGGCTTCTTCAACAGGAAGTCATCGATGCTGGGGCCGTTTCTCCCCAGCGGATCATCTGGAGGCATGAACCTGCAGCAGGGAATGCACCGTGTTATTTTCAATCTGCTCTCTCACTTTTATCTCTATTACACCAAAGCGGTTAGAAAGCTGGCTGGAACCGGGGCCGATCGCAAATCTGTACACAGCGCGCCGGCTCTTGGCCCCGATAACTGGTTCCTATTTTGAACCAACAATCTGCTGGGCTGGAACAAGAACCTCATTCTTAATAGAGTAACAAAGGCTGAAGCGAGATTGACCTGAGAAATAACAGTTCATGGCGAGGAGAAGAACGTTTTTACAAGCAGGGGAGCCAAGAACGCAAAGTGACTAGAACACAACCACACACATACATTATGTGTGTGGGCAGACGTGGGACATATTGATTTGTCACCATCATCTTAAAGACTACTGTTGCTTTCATGACACATTTGAACAGAGGCACAAGCTTCTGTTTGTACTGACTTTCAGGTGTAATCAATACATATAGGCTGGTCTTCATATCAGATCACAAGGAAGGTCACAGTGAAAAATAGGCAGATAAAATATGGCGCTAGAAAACTGCTTATGCCACAATGACAGCAACAAGAATTAGTTTAATGCATTTATGGTGATTATTTATCATGCCTATAGGAATAGTCGGTTAATGTTCCGAGACCCAGGATTTGATATAAAATGTAATGCATTTTAACAGAAGTGTCATTGAGTTTGTTTGCTCAAAAATGATCAGCTTCTGTAACACTGAATTTGGAGCCCCCTGTGGCCCCCCTCCAAAACATGTTTTATTATTATACAATATCTGATAGTGTCGCAGCAAAATCTGCGTTGTAACTTCGGTCAAAAATAACAGGAATGGTTTTTTTCAATAATATAATTAAGAAAACTGTAACTAAGTCTTTGACAACAATTATGTCACTAAAACAAACACCGATGATAGTATTTCAATGTTTTTGTGTGGGCAATGACGTAATACTGAATTAAAAAAATCGAAAATCTTGAACGCGCAGTCTTTGTCACTTTAGTGGTTCTGTTGGAGGGGGGGGGGCAGCACCTGCCTGTATGCTGTCAGTCTTACTTGTCATTAGCGAAGGAGTACATGAGCAGCCTCTCCTCGATGAACTTCTTCCACTGCGGGCTCTCTGTCTGCAGGTCTCGGTAGTTGTCGTTGGACACGATGATGCCGTCGGAGTCGAAGGCCAGCTTCACGATGTAGCGGTCGTCGTAGCACACCACCCTCTTCCCGTTCACGCAGCGAGACGGCGTGAACACCAGGATCTTCCTCCGCTCCAGCTCATGGAGAATGTGTTGATCTACGACAAAAAGAATGATATTGTTTAATCATCATTATAAGGCTTATTATTAGGTGAAAGCATGGCAATCACCTGGTCTGTAACAACAAAAACACATGTCCACTCTAGTGGCCTCAATGCTTTCACATGTTCAGTGCTGTTAGAGGAGCTTGGCTTATTATGTTTCTGAAGTTTTCAATACAATTCAGAATTCAGTGGTTAATGAGCATGATTTAGGGTAATAATGATTCAGCACAAAGTCACACTTAAGCACAGCTACATCTATTGCATGTGTATCGCTGCATGTCCACTTCAGGTGTAGTTTACCCTGTTCTTTCTGATAGATGAGCTGAGCTGCCGCAGGGAAGCTGAAATAAGGATCAAGGACGCTTGATCCTTATTTCAGCTTCCCTGTTGTGACAGTGAACTTTGCACAGTGATCACAAATGGTTTGAAAAGGAACTTGGAACTGAAAAATAAATAAAATACTGGGTTTCAGTTTTAGATTTGAAACGTCCTTGTTGCTTGATACTTTTAGTTAGACCGTGAAGTAGGGGAACTCCAGGCTGCCAGACAGGAAGTGAAGAAGTTGTTAACTCACATGGTACACTTTTATCCAAAGCCACTTACATGCACTTCATTTGCGTGTACATGCATGCCTACGCAAATGTGGGGTTTTATACAGGCTATATATATATATACATGTACGGTATATATATTTGACCTTTTTTAAGAAAATCAGTCTACGAACTGAGCATACTCTGTACTTACCTGCCTGAGAACAGAATCTGAGTTAAAAGTGAGAGAATAATAGGCAGAAAGTTGGCTCCATGAATTGTATCGTTGCACTGTGTCTGCTGGATATGAAGTCATCTCTTTGCCATCATGTTTGCCATATCCCCTTCATTGTCTTGTTTTGCTGGCCCAGAAAGGGGACGTCACTGATGTGGGGTGAAGCAGGGTCTAGTGCTCTCGGTTCATCCTCTCACAGATCATTAAGTTGTAATACTCGTGCCAAATGTGGCTCGGCTACAATTCTGGTTGGTCCTGATTATAAGTGGTGAAATGTGAAGGTTATTGCGCTTCAGCCTACACTCAATGCACCTGTCTTATAACAGAACACACGGTGACAGTTGGCTGAGGTCAGACCTGAGCCTGGAGAGAAGGCCTGTGCTCACCAGTAGCGTGGCGTGGGGAAAAATGTAGGGGAAGCCCATTTTTTGGGTCGGGGGGTGGTCAATAACGTAACCAGATGAGTGATTACAGCGCCCGGTATCATTTTACACACATTTGTATCACACAGATGCAGGACTTGCACACGCCTGTTATCTAACCGAAAGGTCCGCACATACTCTCCAGCTGAAACTCTCTCCTTATTAATTTAAGCATTTTACTTATTAATGTATGCAGACAATCACACAATCTATGTGATTTTTGGATTTACCGTGCCTCTCAATTGCCCGTGACAGGTTGGCAAAGTCGATGAATCCTGAAGTTGCCCAAGGATTGTTCAGGGAGCACGAATCCTTGTCAAAAAGAAGACATGGCCAGCAAAATAGATGCTGAAGTTTAGCGCTTCCAGTTAGCCACTCCGTGCGGACATAATTGTCCTCATTGAACGTCCGATTCTCTCCCTTTTTCCTCTGCGTACACACAGCTCGAGTGCGGGCATTGGCCTGTCATCTGATTTAATTTGTAGTTGCTGCTGTAGCGGAAGTTTAGTAAAGTTATGTTTGATTAAGTACGCCAAATCTCCACCCTCCATAATGCTTCATTTGCTTGATAATTTCTAACGGCGGTGATGACAGTTACAGTATTAAAACTGATGTTGATGTGATTTGATTGGATGGCAGTGTCCAATCAAATCGCCAGCCGCCAGCCGCCTCTGAAGGGAAGCAAGAGGCGGCTAGCTTCCCTTGGCATGGCCCTGACCAATCACAGGTTGGCAGGGGCATCACGTGGGCCTCATCTGATTGGTCAATCCCTCCATTTTTTTTCACCAAGGGAAGCTAGATTCGGCTGGCCTCCTCTCGCAACAGGGAGTGCAATCTACTGTTTCACCATAACATCTAGAGGGGCGCTGTTTTTTTCACTCTTTGTAAAATACTCAATGAGAATGGGGGAGAGCCGGGCCGGCAGCAACACACAGCAAAGGAGAATTATCGAAACAAAACAAAGTGTTTGTATTTATTTATTTAAATTATAACTACAATCCGAAAAAACAGGGGAAGCCTGGCTTCCCTTGGCCTCCGGGAGAAAACGCCACTGGTGCTCACAGAGCTGAAAAGTGTCCTGAGGAACATTGTTATATCTGGAGGCTCTCTCCTCCAGCTCTTACCCGTGATGGGGGCCTCGGCCCGCGGCTGCTCCTTCCTCCACAGGGGGACGAACACGGTGATGTCTTGCAGCCCTCTGTCCCAGAACCAGCTCACTGCCAGCTGGAGGCCCTGGCATGAAAACACCTTCTTGTTGCCATGGCTACAAAAACACAGACACCACAGTCAACAAAAACAACTTCTCTTTTTTGTTTTCATGCACGTAACGCACTTGCATCCCCTTTCCCCCTTTGGTTTCACAAGGCACGTGCTCAGAGGAGTCTGAACCACAGATCTGCAGCGTCACACCCTGAACCTGCAGAAGTCAAACTGCTCCTTCTGCTCTATTGTTATGCTTTATGTGATCATATGCACTCTTAAATTGACTTTAATTAAATGTATTATGTCAACAGATTTCACATAACTGTACTATTTGTAGAAAGCAATAATAGGGTTAAAAACATAATATTATTGCTTTCAACTAACCTAATAGTTATGTGACATTTGTTGACTTTAATTAAAGTCACAGTTTTTCCAGTGTCTCTTTAAAGTTCACCTGTCAAAGTCCAATATTCTCTGTCTGTCTGTCAAGTAAATACTTCTTCCTTCTTCCTCTTCAGCTCACTTCCTTACAGGACCACATGCTCTTGTGTTCTTGTTTTCTCATATCATTCCCTCCTCCTATTGTCCATATCATTTGTTTGAACACATTTTAACTCCGAACTTCCTTGTTTCCAATTGAGGTCATGTCAAACATTGTATGATAAGAACTGCACTCAGTATGGACAGTCCTCCTGCTGGGAAGATCAATGTCTTTCAGGCATAATGTAATCCTGAAGTGATTGCAGAAAGAAGTCAAAATGAGAGCGGCATATCATGTTTTCACTTCCCACGTCTCTCAAGAGGAAGTGTGGTGCGATCAAATCTGTGAAGTGAAACAAAGTGTGACACTAATAGAGACACTGGTATTCCAACGGAAATCTATTTGAACCCTAAAGTAGAGGAGTAGAATTTTCTTTTCCACAAACTTCTCTGCTCTTCTAAAGCCTCACACCTCCATCTGGCTGTGTACATTTACATACATAAATACTTTGAGATACCTGTTCCCTATGTAAGGTTACGTTATACTTGTACTGTTTGACACTTTGCAGATAAAGATCTAACCTACAAAGATTATCCAATTCTAAACTTGAAAATGGATATTTGGATAATGATGAAAACATCAGACACTGTGAACACTTACTTTATACTTTAAGAGCGTTTTAGAGTTGACAGAGTGTGTTAGTGATGTGTGAGTGTGGCGCACCTCATGGCCACGTTGCTCCCGTCTATGACAACAGCTCTGAAGCCTGCGGGGGGCTCTCTGGGGGGCCCGGCTCTGGGCTCTGCAGGCCCCGGGCTGCAGCCCCTGGGAACCAGCCGGGGGCTGTGGGGGCCGCTCCTGTTGCTGCCAGTGTGGCAGGTCTTTATCAGCTCCTCCAGGATGTCGTTGGTCTGGGCGTCATGGTGGAGGCTCTCCAGCACCTTCAGGATGTCAATGTGAGAATATCCCAGTTTGAGAAAGCGCTCCACTTTGACTTGCTGCTGCCGGTCCATCCTGTGTCCTCTCACTGTCTGTCTGTCCGGGGAATCCTCCGCGCCTCCTTATTCTGGCTCCTCAGCGTCTCCGAGGCAACGGCCCGTTGACAGGTGTCAGCAGGGATGGAGTTGACCTCTGTCAGTGTAAACAGGAAGCACAGCTGCAGTCGCTCAGGCGGATACAATCTACTCTTCCTACCACAACCTCATGACTTCCAACGCACACGCAAACAGCGCTGATGTCACACTGCGTCAGAAACCCTGTCACACACACACACACAGATCCCTGGGCCAAGTTTACCTCCAGTGTCACTCAGTGTGAGTGAGCTGGGAGTGGCGCTGTGTGGAAACCCCCCCGACAGATCACAATGTCAGGCGATAGCTCGCAACCCACTTCTTCCACTTTTTTCCTCCCACAAGCAGAGCTATTCTGAGTACAAAACGTTAGCAACATTCTCTCACGCTATTACACCTAAACAATGTGTCAACTTGACATTTGAAGTATGAGGAAAAGAGAGGTTTAATGTGAGCACCCTCCCCTTTGCATAGGGCTGGGCTTTGCAGAGGCTTGCTACAACTTGCAGCGAACCACTTCCTCTGCTACTGAGTCGACACTCAGTTCATCAAGGAGGCCCTCACCCTCATTTATCCCCTGAAATGAAAAGATTATCTCTGCTTGATTGCCTCACTACCTCCAGCGACCTTTGCTCTGTAGCTGCGTACTGACTGCGACTCCCTGTCTGAAACACAACACGTCTGAACACGTTACAAACATCATTCACCATGAGCCTCATTCTGTACTTACATGAAGCTGAGCTGGATCCTCTCTCTGTGTGTGTGTGTGTGTGTGTGTGTTTGTGTGTGTGTGTGTGTGTGTGTGTGTGTGTGTGTGTGTGTGTGTGTGTGTGTGTGTGTGTGTGTGTGTGTGTGTGTGTGTGTGTGTGTGTGTGTGTGTGTGTGTGTGTGTGTGTGTGTGTGTGTGTGTGTGTGTGTGTGTGTGTGTGTGTGTGTGTGTGTGAGAGCTGCTCTTATTACTCACAGGAGGAAGTAACTGAGAAAAACCAGCAGTGAAGAGACCTGTGTGCATTAGTGATTTCTACTTCCTCATCAGGATCCTCAGGAATCTGTTTCTCCCCATGTGCTGTGCTGAAGTAGAGCTGTGATAAAGCTGTACACTTTTATTAGTCATTCACACTTTTTATTTCAATTCTCATTTGTAGTTCATGTGTTCACTGGGACACATCCGTTACTGTAATTATTTCCAAGCCTTGTTGTACAGGTGCAACAAACAAGACCTAACATGTAAAGGGAGCTTCAGGGAAGATGGTTACAACTCCACTTAAACTATCTCTGCCATCTAAAGCTCCAGGCTTGGTCATTCATTTTGGTCTCGGCTATAAGGAATCCTCTATTCAAACTTAATATTCAGTGTCCATCGACATGAAAATAACAAAAAAGTTAATGCTGGACTCAAACCCGAGTCCTAACAGCAAAAATCACTCAAGCCCAGCGCATTATGAGTGTGCCACAGATCGATACGACATAGTGGTTCACCACAGCTCATTTTGTTACATTAACATTGTTAAAAAGTTCCAGAAAAATGCAACCTGACCATCATTTAGAATGTGAGCGAATTTATGTACACGTTTAAGCCATATAATATATATTATAGTAGGCATTTACTTAGAAATAGTAAATTGACTGAGGTCTGTATCAAGCCTCATTAAGACCCACCGAGATCAGATATCCTAGTTGATCAGCCTGCGAGCCTACGTTATGTTGTGATAAGAGGTCATTTCACATATACATGTATTCTAGTGCAAACATTAAGTTCCAATATGCAAATCAGGCCATGTGTTTTGTTACGTAGTAGCTATGTATAATCATCACCGACAGATGGAAAGACAACAATGACAAGGAACTAATATTAATTTTACCAAGTTACACAGAAATAGATACAACAAATATAAGAACAAAGATAATCAATCAATCAATCAATCAATGTTTATTTATATAGCCCAATATCACAAATGTTACATTTGTCTCAGTGGTCTTCACAGTGTGTACAGAATATCAGTATGACAATACGACACCCTCTGTCCTTAGACCCTCTATCATTAGACCCTCACATCGTACAAGGAAAAACTTCCGGAGAAAACCCACAGTTTAAAGGGGAAAATGTGAGAAACCTCAAGGAGAGCAACAGAGGAGGGATCCCTCTCCCAGGACGGACAGACGTGCAATAGATGCCGTGTGTAAATTGAAAAGATAATACATTTGCAACATAGTGTAGCAGGATAGACTGTTCAGCCCTATCACCACACGGGGCAACCTTTATAAAGAGGGGTCAGTGTCGCTCTTGCTCCCTCTTGCTCTTTGGCACGAAGGCCACTTCCGGGTTCCGCTGACGTGCTTTCTCCGCTGGCACCGGTGAGCAGTGTTGCCAACTTGGCGATTTTCTCGTTAAATTTGGCGGCTTTCCAAACCCTCCGGCTACTTATTTGTGTCAAAAGCGACTAACGACTAATCTAACGATTTATAATGGTGTTATAGAGAGGCGAAGTCCCTCCCCTTCCGAAAGCCTCCATGGGACCCCGGAAGCGGAAAATTATACATTGAAGTCAATGGAGAGAGAAAGGTTATCTTTTGATCCCGTTTGAATTGTGCCACGAATGACACATATGATGTTTGTCAATTTAAAAGAACATTTTGCAAGTCAAAAAAATAAAAATGTGTCGTAAAACTGTGAAGTTACACATTTTTTCGTGTGAAACCGCTCAGTGAACTACAGGTCTCTCGTCTCGCACAATACGCGTCACCAACATAAAGATGGCCGTCACGTTAGCACATTTCACCACATTCTTTCAGAATGAGAATAAAAGTATTTTACGAGGTGAAAATCACTACAAGTCTGGGCACGTTGAGAGCTGTACCTATATGAAAGGGGAGTTAGTCGGTTCTGTAAGAGCCAGCATGCGGGACCGGCTTTACAAGGTTTCGGTGAGTAATATGAGTGCAATGTGTAACGTTAATGTCAGCTAGCTAACATTAGCTAACAAGGTACACTAACGTGTTTTGTTTTAGCAACTAGTTTTCTCCTTAAGAACTTCGTGGTCTCTGTGTATGCTGTGGATAACATTAGTGTTCACAAGAACAAGGTACACTCCCGTGTTTTGTTTTAGTTGCTCTTCAGATTGAAGCGGCCAGTTTTATATCGACTATACTGTATGTGTGATCTCCTTTTTCTCGTTGTGTCATTTGAGTTTATTTGCTGTGTGTCGATTCAAGGATTTTGGTTATCTAGTCACAGCTGTGTGTGACTCCCTCTGGTACACTGGTATATGTTTTCCTAATGTAGAGAGCATTGATTAATTAATAAACTACACACTGATTCTAGATCCTGACCAAATCCTTTTTTATTGTTGATCAAATGTTTTTCAAAAACGTATTCATACACATTTATAAAAATACAATGTACAATCACAACCAATACAACACAAATTACAAAAAATACAGAAAAACAAACAATAACAACAGACAAGAGGACAAAACTATGGAAAAATAAACCCTCCCACCCCCAGATCCGGACCATCCTTGTATTATTGCTCATTCAATCTATTATAGCATGCTAACAAATGGTACTTACTTTATTTTTACAGATCTGCATGGGAGACGATGGCGCGATGCAGAGCGCTGTCTGTGATTGTGCACAGGGGATGTACAAATGCAGCCACGCTGCAGCATTGGTAATATTTGCCATGTGGCAGATCAGCTCCACAGATGTTGAGTGCCAGTGGAGGAAGCCTGGCACTTCCAAAGTAGTCCAGCCGGTGTCTCAACTTTACCATCAGCGAGAGGAGACATACAACCCACTGGCCAGAGACATCGCCAACTGTCAACTGGGGGGTTGTAAACGAGGCCGAAGGGGTGAAGGCTTTTGTGGAGGCCTATCAAGTGACAGTGTTCGAATCGAGTCTGGTCTCTTTGTGAGTGAGTCGGGTGTTCTGGGAGCATCACCCGATGGACTTGTGCAGCCATCTGCCCTGCTGGAGGTGAAGTGTCCACACAGCCAGAGGAACATGACCATCACGGAGGCAGTCCAGTTACCATCCTTCTGTCTCCGTGAGGAGGGTGGGTCATATATTCTCAAGGAGAATCACCCATACTGGCACCAGGTCCAAGGGCAGCTGCACATCACAGACCGGAGTCTCTACTACTTTGTTGTGTGGACCACGAAGGAGGCGATCATCATCCCCATCCCCAAAGACCCTGCATGGCATGGAAATCTCCTCCTCCTGGAACAATTCTACACCCAGCATATGCTCCCTGTGTTGGCCAGTAGAGAGGAGGACATTTCAATAAACATACTCTTAACACCCTCGGACTCTGCGTTGTGTTTCGTATGTGTGATGGGGTGTTATGCAGAGGGGAGGAAAACAGGACACAGCAGATTGGGATTGTGGTGGAGATGCTGAGCAGTTATTTAATTGTTGCATGTAATTATTATTATACTGCGTGCTTCTTAGTTATTCCATCTTTTGCTGTAACATGGATCTGTATGTAACTCTATATTTACTTGTTATCTACCACACTTCCTTCTACATCATACACCATCATTATACATGATGGTGTATATAGGATATATATATTTGTATACATATCTGTAAATTGTATAATTGTATTTAAACGTCTTTTTGATCTCTCAAACTGAGTAAGATTGACAATAAAGTTGACTTTGAAAAATATATATATTCTTTATGAAAATAGTTGACTGTTGTCAAATGAATCCAAATGAAACGTTGGACTGAACTACAACTACGCCTTTAAATCTCTACGGACTGTTTTCAGTGGGATGGCAAGTTCCTATCTTTAAACATTTATTAGTTTTTTCTCAGAACAGATTTAATTTTCTGAAGTTAATTTAACTTTGCCGACCATGTAAGGTCATCATTAAAAGGTACAATCAATTTGTTTAGGGTTGACTAAAATAATGAAAAACATTCATTTGGATAATTTACTGACAGAATAAGAAACTCAATGATGCTTTACTCACCTGTTCCCTTTTTATAAAGTGAAACAGTTGAAACGATAGATTTTAGTAAACTTAAAAACAACCTTCTCCAAAAGCTATCAAGGAATATACCGAATACTTGTTTTAGAACTTTATTACATATTTTTATATAAATAGTTTGAATGATCCATAATTGACAGAAGCTTGTGTTTACACTGACCTGTTACTCATATATTAATGTCTTTGTAACTTCAGTAAACCACTACCTCACTAATTTCTTTCATTCATCACGGTTCAGTAAACTAAGTGATACATGAACCAGTTTAATCATTATAATAACGTAGGATTGCAACTCTTTGAAACTGTAGGTGGCTCTTAAAAGAGCCGTTGTGTTTGGGTGTGCTGGTCTCAGGTCAGTCTAAGCCCTCTCTCCGCATCCGCGGAGGCGGCGGGCCAGCTGGATGTCCTTGGGCATGATGGTGACCCTCTTTGCTTGGTTCATCTTACTGGGGGGCAGCTACATGGATGTCGGTGCAGTCCACAATCATTGCGCAGTTGAAGGCAGAATGAATTTATTATTGACTCCGAATGAAGCACAACTTCATGTCATACAATACAATGACTTTATTTGTAATTGTGTAAAAAAATATGAGCATTGATTAGCAAGCAGGACCTGCAGGAACAGAGAATGGTGATGGAGCTGGGAAGAGAGAAGAATAAAGAAAACAGATCAACTTTATTATCGGATATTAAAAATTCAATTTCAAAACAAGTTGCCGCTCCTACAGTTTTCTAGTATGTAAAGATGATTTCACAT